TTGTCAGCATTTTCCATTAGTCATGGAATAGCAGCTTTCAAAAAAATTGCTTATTCTTGCACATTGCATTAACAGTGAGCAGACTAGGTTATGTGTAGCCAATCTTTTCCATATGTTTAGGATGCTCACATACATTGTGGTATATATTCTGCTTGCCTTAGGTATAATAAGGCCAATGTAATTGAAAAACTAAGCTTTCAGAATTTGCCTCCTACATGAGCTATCCAGTGGCGATACCACTGTAAAACTGAGCTTTTTCTAAAGCTTGCAGTTGTCACTAATTACATGAAACTGGTACAGACAGTTTATATGACAACACAAAGTTCCAGGCACAAACTTACAAAATATACAACCCTCATCTGCTATTAAATAGCAACAGGTAATGAAAAATGAGAGATGCATAGTTCACTGATGAAATTTAAAAAAAACTGTAAAAGCAGTCAGATGAATGAATGTGTATTCACTCATACATTTGCTCACTTATTGCACATTAATGACCATGTATAAAACGAATTTAATGGCACTCCATCTCGTTTCCCACATCAACAACTCACAGCTAGGCCTTGGATTAATTGGCAGATGCAGGAGAGTGGCCAAGAGCTTTGTGGCTATTATGACTGAGCTTAGCTTGGCTGGAATGTAATGCAGATCAAGGCAACACGTCTGCCAGATATTGTGTTTGAGAAGTTTGTTCTGCCTTTTCCTGCACATAAACAGATGACTTCCGTCACCATAGAACATTTCCCAGAAATGCTGAAATGTCTTATCGCATTCTTTTAAGACTGATTTCCTTCTATTTCTACCTGTTCTCAAAGTTTTATTTTGGCATTGCTCAAACTTTATGCCCTGTGGCCTCTGATTTTTTTTGTGTTCATGTACTTTATGCTGTGTGTGCTCATTTCTGTATACTAAAATTGCGTTAATTCTTTCTTTTTAATATTCTGTACAGGTTAAAAATAAATCCATCCAGACCTCTACTCTGTATTAAATGTGTTATTCTAGTTTATAGTCAAGCTTTTTTTAAATTACAGATATGATGGCCATATTTTTCTTGGGTATAAAGAAACTTGGTATTCATATGTTTTAAAAGCTTAAGACTTAATTCAGCAGAAACTGAGATGTCTATTAGACCCCATTAATATATGAAAATATACAGCGAATTTTGGAGAAATGTCAGAAAATATTCAAGATGTTATCTCTGAAAAAGTAATAAATGACATGTGCCTGTTTTTAAGTTTCCTATCTGCACTGTATATTTCTTACTAATAATTTGATGTTACCTTTCTTTGCTGTTTTGCTAGAAAATTTTTCTCCATTTTTTTCACTCTAAGAATTAGGCAGCTATTCCCTTTTAGGCATACAACCCAGTTCTTATTAGAACCACCTTTTTAAAGAGTTTGTATATCTCTACTCTCACTATGTTAGATTTTCTACAATTTTCATCTGTAAGTTGTTTTGCTGTCCTCACAGACCTTTCCAGATTGTTTAGCTCTGCTAACTCCTTCCAAGAATAATGAGATCTGTTAACCTGAACATGTCTTCCAGCACTGAAGACCATTCTTTATTCTACCTAATAGAGGTATATCAAGTAAAGTACTATAAAGCAAAACACTTGCAAAGCAGTACTAAATGAAGAAAGGTAAAGGACAAACAAATCAGATGTAGAAATAGACTGAGACAAGTATGCAGGCAAGGACTGGAATGTGGGAGGTGAAATACTGCACACTTGGAGATGGCAAGTCAGGAGGAATTTGAAGATGATGATGATATTGATTACGAACTTGAACAAAATAGTGCATTTGAGAGAGAAAGTAATGAGAAGGATGTCATAAAATGGAAAAATGTTTCATGCTAGAACTGATAACTTCATAGATATATTTCCTGCAGGACTTCAGAAATTGTGCTATTTCCACAACAAAATCTGCAGCAAATTCTTTCTTCTCTTGAGCTTTTTTTTCTGCATTAATTTCTATTACATTGCATTCACGTTCTTCCTGTTCCTCCAGACGTACATACAGTACTGGGTGAGCTAAGTCTGCCTCCATGTCACTGGGCCCAGCAGCTAAGGCTTTTTTATGCCCATTCAGCTTCCTTTTTCAGTTTCAAGTTTATTCGAAAACAATGCATCTCCACTATAGATCTATTTTACATCATACCACAATACAGTGCTGAGTATTTTTATGCATTAGATAGCTTGCTTAGTGATTGTAGCTTAAAAATTTCTTGCACAAGTAAGAAGATAATGTCTCCTTTTCAATATCACAGTATTCCATGATGATTCTAAAGCCAAAATAAAAATTTTAACTTTAAATAGGTTCTCAGGGTACCCATTAAAACAAATTAATTATCATAAATATAAATTTGTTTGTAGAGGAAACAGGCTGAAGAAGAAAGCCCACTGGGGATTTCTAACATGGCTGCTGCGTTTCTGAGAAATTGTCCG